TGCACACTTGATATTTCAGACAATTAGAAAGTTTTAATTTGAAAATTATTAACCCAGAATTCTAAGTATTTAGATTTCATAGGGTTTAATTTTTCAGGATGTTATTACACTGGGGTATTAAGTTGTGTATCTTGAAAAACATCCACTTTATTCAAGTTACCCCACCTCAATATGCATGAATTTTTAGTGTCTTTACATCTATAACCTACTGTGTTCTTGTTAACAAAAGAATTTTAAGCAACCTTGCCAGATGCAAAAATTGTTTTAAGAAGCAAGTAAAATGAAGAGACAAAAAAATTACTTAATCTACTCTTGGAAAAAAACCACTTTCAAACAGGAAGCTAAAGCTGCTGTACAAAAACACATCAAGATGATCCTCAAAGTTAGCTTCTATGCCAGAGCATCCCTGCCAAGTACAAGGGAAGAATAAAAAAATGCCCAGAAAGATCAGTCTTGTGATTAAGAAACCGAAGTGATGGGGGACCTTTACCAGGAGATTTTGGGCAGATCCCACATATGTTTCTCATGTGTGTCTCCATTCTACTACCTAAAAAATATAAATAAGTATATTATAGTGCTACAGGAAGTTAAACACCAATATAGAAGAACATATACAAAAGTGATCATTACATGCAAAGAGTTTTCACAGTTCATCCAAAAGAATATTCAGAATATTCATAATCCGAATACTGATGAGAAACAATGCTGATTTTGTAGCGATACAAAGGGCAAAGAGGAAAGGCAAAACAAGCCCATAACACAACAGCTTGTCATGAATGCCAAGTAGGTATCTAGCTGCCAAATTTATGGGGAAATTGAGAAATAAAACAGAAAATGTTGGCATCATCTCTCCTAGCACTGTATTTTTAATAAAGAAAACACATGCAATGAAATATATTCAGTTGATAAAGTCCACCACTTAGAAAGTGACAACTGTTCAAAAGGCTATATAATTATTTCAAGGTGTACAGTGTCAACAAGATAATTCTTTTGAAACTCTAAAAATGAGACTTTTGGTCTGATCTGACAAGAAAAGCTTAGAGTAAAGCATTATAGCTTCTCCTGCAACACCACCAGTGAATTTAAGCTAGCTACAGTAAGAACAAAATATACATCTTTGAGACCCACTTTTGAGTAAGTTTTAGTCAAAATATTTCAGTCTTACAGCTGAAATAAAGTTCTAGAATATTACAGCTGGAATACTACAGTGCTATCTGGTTCCAGTTACTTTTTTTTTTTATGTGTATGTATGTTTGTTACTGGGATATGAAAAAACCTATCTGTGTTGCTCTAAGTACATTTCATAATGAGAAGTCTAACCCTTTCAAAAAAATCATCTGCGCACAGCATATCAAGCACAGTATCTAATAAACAGAAGAACCAAAATCGCCTTTGGATATAGGAGAAAATTCACACCATCCAGTTACAACTAAGTCCGTTTATCAGCCTCCATAGCCTGTATAATCATCAGGCTAAGAGAGTTGAGGAAAGATTCAGCTCACTTAACAGTAGGTGTTTAGGATCTCGCTATAGTTTAAGAGTTCCAGTAAGATCAGGTGAAGAAAATCCTATGTGTGGAGTAACTTCACTAAATCAGGAGCTAATACAAATCTAAATTAATGCCATTATACATTATCCTAATGATCCAGTACATTTGAAAAAGGTATTTTTTGAGGAAAGCTATTTATTGGTGGTAGACAACTTTTCTTCCAAGCCTCCCCTTCCAGGTATGTGGTGATAACCAACACAAATGGTGGCCATCAGGGAGGTTTGTTGTTTAGATATTCCCATGCTAGTCATCTGTGCTTACACAATTCACAGAATGTATACACTTCAACTCCAAAAAATTACAGAATACTTAATCTAGAGGAAGAAATCCATCCTTCACTTGAGTAAGATCCAATGGCTTATTTTATTTTACCATTCAACTCATTATTTCCTGTTCAAATGCTTCTAACTTCAGCCTGCAGTTACTCAAAATAGAGACAGAATATTCAAGAGCTCTCTAGTATCACTCTAACTTCCTACATACAGGGAATACATGAAGTCACCTCTTCTGAAAGCAAAAATAAATGGGGCTTGCCAAATCTCATTACAAAGTAGATTTGCTGTAACTGGAGCAATTTAAACCTTTTCTGAACCGTTCCCAACTTCCACTGTCATTTCTTCTACAACAGTATCAATGAAATAAATAAGGTGAGTTGCCAAATGTAGCAGTTCCTTGAAATAGTCATAACATCTAAATTGCATTAAAAGTCATTTCAATGTGAAAGCTAAAACAAAAAGGATACTGATCTGTTTGAGGTCTTCGGAAATTCTCTGGTAGATTAGCTTCATAGAGTAGTCTTGCTTTAGTATTTCCCATTTCCTGCATGCACTAAGGAAAAGTAGAAAACAGTTAGTTCATGTCCATCAATACTTTAAATCCTGAGACAGTCAGAATGTTGTTGGGTGTGCCTAAATACACTTCAAGTTTTTAACTTGGAGACCTCTACACTGCCATATGTCTTGGGAGATGCTCCCATGGCACAGGAGGGTTGCTTGCCAAGACTTGCTGGACAAAAGCTAATAACACAGATACCGTTTACAGTGTAAACTAACCCATCCAGTGAAAGATAAGCTTTCATCTCTCAGGATGGCTCTTCAGACCAGGAGGAACAGAAGAAAGAAAATTTGTCTGGCAGCAGAAAGAGGCTTCAGACTGGAGCATACCTGGAAAAGTCAGTACTTGGTACGCCAAAAGAATGTAATCAAGAATCAGACAGATGTGTGAATGCTACTTTACTGTCCCCTACTGAAAAGGAAAAGGCTTACAACACCTTTTCTACAGATACAACAAAGCAGAAGCTTTCAGAGTCCCTGTGGCAAGGTACAATACATGTAAAATGAAAAGACAGCTAAACCAATTTCTGAAGTGAGTTTTAAGAACATTGAAACGTCACAGTAAAAATATAACACATTAAGAACTACTTTGATTATAAAACACTTTAAGTTGGGGCATCATGATGATAAACTCAAATCTTTTCAAAAGGAATCCTAGCATTCCCTCCAAATTGAAAACATATTTTAAGATATTTTACCTGTATTTGCTCTGGTGTCCATTGGTCCAAGTTGACAGATTTGACCCTTGATATATGGACCCCAAGATTTCGATGTATTCCAGCACATCTGATGCAAATAAAAACACCAGTGTTCCAAGATGCCCATCTTGGACCTAAGGAGAATGGGGAAATAAATTAGTTATTTTCAAAATTCCATATACTAGGAAGATTTTCTTTGGCATAACTCTGTACTGACAACAGGAATACACAGGGTGAATAAAGGCTCATAGCTATTTCTGTAGAATACGATTACTTCTAACGGTCTCCATTGTCAGTAATTTTATTTATGGCTTCCTACTTCTAAGTGATGTCACATAACATGTGAGTTAGCCAAATTAAGCTAGGAAGTCATATGTTGTACCCACTGCCCTCCTCCTCCTCCCCAACCAAAAAAACCCAAACAAACTTTAGAAAGTTGGCTTATTAGTAACAACAAGATTTTGCTTACATCTCAAATGGCTATGTATCAGATGCAAGCATCAGCAGAAATCTGTAGAGATTGATCCTTTTCCTCCAATTAAAATCTTCCGAAGACATGCATCTGTACTTAATTTGAAATTAAACGCAGGGCAATCTTATATTAATGCAACAAATCCTTTAATACCTCATAGAGCACAGGCTTTACAACAGTAGCATGCAAGCTCTTAGAGAATGATTATACAGAGATTTGCAAAATCAACTGATGAAAATATCCATGACTAAAAATGGTGGAAAACTGAATATGTTCAGTACCCTAGATTCCTAAGCTACAGTATGAGTTGCCATACATAGCTCAATGAGTTTTCTCATGGTATTGGGTTGATTCATGAACCTTACCATTGTTTCTCAGCTGTACTGGCATTCTGAGAGAGATCTACAGCATGCTGGCCTGAACTCCCGCAGTGACACTTGGGGTGTTTGACTTGGAAGTTACCACACAATCTCAAACACATTTATATTGTTTAATTCCATCTCTGTACACCACCACTGTTAAAAGCACTGCTTTAAAGTCCATCTAATTCTGAGCTCTAGGGAGTTCAGAGCTTAAATAATTAACCATCAAAAGCAAGAAGGCACACTGAAGAGCTGGAAAACATTTCAAGCAATTATTTTCCACCTTTGTACAACAGATGTGCATCTAGACTACTCATGCAACTGCAGCAGTTTGCATTTCAGTGTTAATATATTGCACAAACACTTTCCTGGGCCTAGAAAAGAATTTTATGTCTTCCTCTCCTGATCTTTAGCTTAGAACTGTGTGGGGTTGACCCCAGCCAAACACTCACAGAGCTGTTCACTCACTCTCCTCTCCTGGAAGACAGGGAGAAAAGAGAAGGAAGGTGAGAAGATTTGTAGACTGAGATAACAGTTTTAGTAAGTGAAGCAAAAACTGCACACCATCAAAGAAAAAACAAAAAGGATTTCTTCACCACTTCCCATCAGCAGGCAGGTGTCCAGCCACTTCCTAGAAAGCCAGGCCTCGGCACACACCACACTTGCTTTGGAAGACAACACCATAACCAAGAATGTCCTTTCTTCCTCCTCCTTTCCTTGAGCATTTGTTGCTGAGCACTTCATTACATGGTATGGAATGGTCAATCAGTCAGCAGCTGTCCCAGGTGTGTCTCCTCCCAATTTATTGCCCACCCACCCCTAGTCTACTCGTCTGCAGGGGGCAGAAGAGAAAAAAAGAAAAGCCCTGACCATGTGCAAGCACTGTTCAGCAACAGCCAAAACAAGGAGGCAGGAGAAATCCTTTCAGTTAGACTCCATTCTTTTGAATTGGTATTCAAAAATCCCGAGACACATTCAGAACTCCCCAGATTTGTTGCAAGAAGCCTTCCTCTTACTAGTGGAAATACTGGCTATATTTTGGGTAGCCACCTTGCCTTCAATTTGTCTTGTTCAAGATCTCAAAAGTCAGACCACCTGATGTCTATTGCTTAACCTTTAAGACCAAAATTATTAAGATGACTGGCAGTTTTCGAAATAAGTGCTACCATCATAAAATTAGATTTCAGGGGTCAAGAGATTGAACAGTTACTCATTGAAACTAACACATCATTTCCCACACAGCACTTCTGCATTAAAACTACTACTTGTCAGGTAAGAATGAACAGTCAAGCTGTTTGCAATGTGTGCCTTAAATACTTCAACAACTAGCAACCTGTTGACCTGCCTATTTTCCCCTATAAAACACTACAGACACAAAATACTCACCCTGTCCCTACCGGCTGTGTAGATCTCTAGTACAGGAAGATCCCACTTACAATTTATAGTACTTTCAGTTTTAGTGCTCCAGGATAGAGTTCTGCAGGCCATTTCTCTCAACTTATTCAAGTTTCAGCTGAAGTAGTATACCAGTAGAAACTTCATCAAAAAGCCTCCTTAGTGACTCCATTGTAGATAAAGTACCTCAGCTTATGCAATAACTCAACACAGCCATGATAGTTTAGAAACAAAAAAGTAAGGCAAGATCTCGTGTGCCCAACAGCTTCTCCAGGTTTTCCTCCAAACTATAACCCAGGGATGTGCCTTCTAAAGAGGGAAGCCAGTTTTGATCACGTTACTGTAGCAACAGGAGGTGTTTCTTTGTAGTATCTATACACTGTCCATATATTTATCCTGTAGGGCGTTCACATAGCCAGTAAAAACTTTTTACCACAACAGAGTTTGTACAACTACACATCACATTAATTTCCTAATTTTCAGGTTCTTCCTCAGCTATGACATCCCAGACAGCCAAGTTCTACATTAATGAGACAAGACCGGAATAAGGGCTTGATATGACTGAAATCTATCGTAATAAATGAAGGAGGAGATCATTAACTTTGTAGTTTAATATTTTAACTTAAAATTTTGTTAACAAAAAGAATGATCATGACAACTTGTGAATTAGATGGGTTTCTCCTAAGGAAAAGATCAGTTTTGTATTTTCCCAGAAGCTCAGATTTCATTAATGTGTACTTATTTCTGAAATAACTTAGGGAAATCAAATATATTTAAGCAATAAAGTAACAAATTAAGTAGTGGAATAACAGACAAAACCTGAGGCCAGACAAAACTGTTCACGTGTAATCTCTGAATTTATTTCAGACTAATGACAATATGCAATATTAAACACTTAAAATGAAAAATGTTTTAATTAATAAAAATCAATTACAGCCACAGCTAAGCAGTAGGCAAAAGAAGTTACAAAATAATGTTTTCTGTGTGGGCAACAAACCAGCTGTACTTGACTTAACCGAACAGCCAACTAAAGCTCAGTCTGTAAACCTTCCTGTGTGAGAAATGTTTAACAGTAATTTGGACTGATTCAATAAATAATTTACAGTTATCTCAATTCTGTATGAAGTCAGGAGCCTTATTTCTGTACACAGGAAATATTTTGCACTTAATAGAAATATTCACAGGTTTCCTCTCATTGGGTCCTTAAAGATACATCAGTTGTTCTTCAGCAAAATTTACAAAAGTAACCTAGTTTATCTGCTGTATGTATTTTGCTAGCCAATTAAGACAGACAGACATTTGGCCCCAGAAATGAAGACTGGACACAAAGAATCTTGATGACTGCTATTTTACGCTATTTAAAACACCTTCACATGTCAGTAGTAATGTCATCTTACCTATCAAGAACTGCATTATACAGTGCAACTCCAAGCGGCCCATATTAGCATGAAATACTGTTCGACCTAAGTTTCAATACAACTGTAGTTTTGTTCTTTTCAATAAAAAAGAAGCTTTTTACTAGAAGAGCTGAGCTGCACTTCAGCAGCTTGCTGCACCACTGATGATGCACCACATGGATATAAAAATACACTTCAAGTAACTTCTTCAGTCATTTAAGATATGGATAACTGCTTAAAAATATTTTCAGCCCCTTTCATCCTTTGCTAAAGTTAATATAAGGAAAAAAAGCCATAAATGAAAATGACCAATGTTTATAACTAGACTATATCTTAGGTACTAAGAAACACTGCCTGGATAAACCAAGGGGGGGAAAAAAAAAAAAATCAGCAACCCAAAGGAAGATTGCTGCTTCCAATATCAGAAGATATTTTTTTTTTCTTCAGTCTAAACTTTTCTTTCTTTTCTGTATTTGTCTACTGATTAGACTTAAATTTCCTTCTCAGTTCTTATTAGGTAGGTAAGGTCAGCTACGTGTGCATCAGTGTGTGCTATTTTCCAGAGATATTATCAAGACAAGAACACGCTAGGTCATTCTTGTGAACACCTGACAACCTTCTTAAGATGGTCTGACATTAACAGTTTAAGTAATTCTTAAAAACACTAATCTGGAATAAAAACTCACAAGGTTTATTGTGCATATTGAGTCTTACTGGCAACTATAATTCAGCTACTTTCATAAAAAGCAGTGATTAAGTTGTGCTGTGCTTAAATTTCAAGTCACAAGTGCAAACTTCTTGTAAGAGCTGAATGGAAAGATGGATTTGAATCGCGATACAGCTTCACACAAATTAATTTGGAGTCTTGGCCATTACACATTAAATGGAGAATACCAAGTGACATTTCCCGCTGCACTGGGCCTGGCTGGGTTGGAGCTAGCTTTCTTCATAGCAGCCCATAGGGAGCTGTGCTTTGGATGTGTGACTAAAACAGTGCTGGTAACACTAATGCTTTGGCTACAGCTGGACAGTGCTGGCACAGTCAAGGTTGCTTTCCCACCCCCACCCAGCAGGCAGGGGATGGGCAAGAGGCCGGGAGGGGACACAGCAACCCCCAAGCTGACCAAAGGGACATCCCAACCCGTATGGCATCCTGCTCAGCAACAAGAGCTGGCAGAAAGGAAGAAGAGGAAGGGGGGACATTTGTGGTGACATCATCTGCCTTCCCAAACAACCATTACACAGGCTGAATCCTGCTTTCCAGGACACAGCTGGACATCTGCCTGATGATGGGGAGCATCAGCTTGACTTTCCATTTTCACTTCGCTAGCCTGTGCAGCTTTTGCTTTCCTTATTAAACTGTCATGACATCAAGCCACAAGTCTTTCCACCTTCCTTCTATTTTCTCCCCATTCCACAGGAGAGGAGAGCAGAGGGAGAGGTGGGGTGGGTGTTCAGCTGCTCGCCGGGGTTAACCCACCACTACACTAGTTTGCATTCAGG